ATAATGGCTCCAGGTGGCCTTATGTTTTCACATTCCTAATCTTCACAGTCTTCACACTCTTCTCCTGACTTTGCTTTATTTTCAAGGTGAAATATCCTATTTTGATAGTTGAGTTATTGTTCTCTCTTATATATGCTTTTAAAAATATCACTGCTAGTAACCAGTTAAAATTTGGTATTGGAAGAAAAAATATCCATCCTGTACTATGTTAAGAACCAGGGGCTGAAAGGTAAAAGTATATGGTTTGTTAATCTACTCACTATCAAATACAGACACACCATAGTTTGTGGCAGGATTACATGGGGCATGAAATTAGGGTGGATTTACTGAAGCTGAATCTACGTACCTAGTTTTTTATTATGCTACTTTCTCTACTTTAGTATATGCTTGAAATTTTCCAGCATAAAAACTTCAAAAATTTAGGGACAATCTCAGAAGGGGGAAAAAGTGGTTTTAATGATGTCCTGTGATTTCAGACGACTGTGGGCAGCACTCCTGGGCTTAGCAGAGCTCCTGTGCTCCTCCCTTCAACCTTGGGAAGCTCGTGGGAGGAAGAGGGGTATTTATTTTTAGTGTGAGTTATTTCAGTGAGAGAGCGCCCAGTTGTTTTGCTGAGGTGGTCCAGACGTGAAATGCTGTATATTTGATTTTCAAACTAGATGGAGGCAGGATGCTTAAAAGCCTTTAGGCTTTGGCATTAGACAGGCTAGATTCAAATTCTCCTACCTGTACAATTTAGGGGAAATTAGTAATTTCTCAGACTTTGTACCCCTTGTAAAGTGGGGTTACTGTCAGCCTACAAAGTTATACGTAAAGCGCCTACTGATATGTCTGGCAAATAATAGATTCTGCATGTTTATTTCCTTCCTTCCTGCCATAGTTTCAGTTGCTTATCACATAATATGTTTAAGAAACTCCAAAGACTTTCTAGATATAACTTTGAAAACATTTTCAGTTCTCCAAAACACCAGTAAGAGCTAGGCATATCCAGTCACTGAACATTATTAATCGAAGGGCTATTAATAGATGAGGAACCCAGGTGTTTAGAGAGATTCAACACCAGATTATGTGGTGTATTAGAAAGACAATGAACTCTCTGTTAGGGACCTAAATTCTCATCTCCACTTTCTCATTAGGAAGCTGTGGACTTGGAAAGGAACACCTATCTCTTATCCTCAGAGGAGGAATTTTTCAAAAGCATTTTTAAGTTCTTCACTTTCTAAAACATAAAATAATGGCCATAGAGACTGACTAAAACATGTGAAACTAATAATTTGGTGCATTACTGTATTAAACAGAGATCAGTTTGATTTTCTTCAGGTATGAAAACCTCCCTCATTAGAGTCTGACAAAGTAAAAGCACTGTGCAAATGTGAGGTTTTGACCCTGAACCAATAGCCTTGGCCAGAAGCCCCTGCAAATTGTCCTGTTGTGTGTTTATTGTCGTTTTTACTAGGATGAAAGCAAGATTATGAATTTAATGCAATGCGTTGAGCAGCTGCAAATTAACTAAAGTCCAGCACAGAGAATAATTAAAGAGTATGGGAATTCAGGTGTCAGAGACAGCAGGCCCGGCCTGGCCCTGCCCCTTACCGCAGCCTTGGCAAGTTACTTCACATTTCAGAACCTCAGTTGCCTCTTCTCTAATAAGATAAGGCATATCTACATTTTGAAGTTTTAAAAAGTTAAATGAGGAAATGCAGGTAAAATGTTTCTGGCATTCAGGAAGTGCTCAAGAATCTATTTTCTTCATGAATTTCCACTTTTAGAAATATTACACAGCTTCTTATCAGTAACATTGATTTTTATCAGAATTATGTCAAGCTTTAAGTTTTCATGTTTAAGACTCACTCATCATTGTGTGTGTGTGTGTAAGTAGGGGGAGATTACACATTTTTATGGCTTTAAAAATGGCAAAATCTTAACAAAATAGCAAGAGGACAGTATTTAGTATAACTGGGCATTCATGGGGGCAACACGGGGCTCAAAAACAGACTAAAGGGATTTAAAGATTAGGTGACTCTCAGTAGGAAACTTTCCTCCATCAAAAGCCACAGATGTCTCTAAAGCCCTTCCCACCACAGACCCAGTCACAGCCAACTTGTGCAGGCACATTGAGCAAGACAATTTGCAAATCAGCCTTGAATAACAGGAATCACACCGGCATGCCACGTATCTAGAAGATTCAAAGCTAAGATAAACATAGTCTGCACGATACATGCAAGTACAGTGGAAGAATCTGTATGTGAGATGCTACATTTGGAACAGTTGCTGAAGGAGACAGAATCCCCTTAAGTGGAAAAATCAGCAATGATTCAAGAAAATGACCCCTAAAACCTGGGCAGGGCAGGAAGTGACCGAGCACTCTGACACTGACATGGACCAGCAGGTGAATCAAAACCCAGACGACGGGAAGAAATAAACACACACACCAAACAACCGAGGCCAAGCATTCCCCAGGCCACATTTATCATCATCTTCGTGGAATGAAATAAAGGACAAGTTGCTATTAGTATCTGAAGCACTACGTGGTGTGTCCTGGCTTTGCTGTATGTAAATTAAATGTGCAAATAAATATGTATTGTTCCATTGTTTAGATTGAGTTTTTCTCAAAGATGGCCTATTGTTTTGTTAAGAAAAATCATGTGAACTGGTGTGATGGCACCCGACATTTACAGAGAAACATGCTTGTAATGACAGGTGGACAGAACAGGCCTTAATCCTCTTTGAGAGCACCACCTATTACACATACACTACAAGTATTGATTCTGGATATTGGAATTTTCAGGCCTGTCACTGCGAGATGGGATTTAGAACAGTTGTGTAAGTTGGCTATCTTTTTGTAGAGGCTCAATATAATCGTTGATGTTCCTAGAACAGAACAGACACTAGGCCTTTATTGACATAGAAAGAAAAGATTATCTTACTGTCTCTATGCCAAACTGAAAAAGTGAGTTATCTGCCTTTACACTTCATCTATCTCATAAGGCTTCCGTTTAACTCTTTATTTTTCTTCTTCCCTTGTATCCTCACAGTTTCTTTCCCCAAAAGCTATTCATCTTGTCCTCACTTCATGTCAACAAGGAAATCATTTAACTGATGAGGCTGGTTGCCCCAGTTTACTTCTTTTCTTTCCCAAGACAGAATTTCCCCACAATGGAATCCGTGCCAGAAAGACGGCTGCACAACCACCCCCACCACCCCACCACCCCCACCTCCTCATCCTCGGAGTAAGAAAACCCAGACATTTATCTGGACCTGCCAGTGCCCTTGCCTGAGAAAGCGTGAGCCTCTGAGACAAGAGAGGAAATGCTGTAGACAATAGCAGAAGCTGCACAGTCCACAAATGCTCAGCTTTTCACCACACCCATTGGTGGAATTTGTTACCAGTAAACACGCATTGCTCTAAGCACCATTATTTATTGCAGACGAAAGAGAAAAAGCATCTGTTTTTAAAGCCAGCTCTGCTCCACAGATGAAGATTGGATAGTTTTGCTTCTCTGAGCTAGAAACTAGACAGGGTAGCCAAATACTCTGAGCACATTTCTCTCTTGAAACTCCAAGATGGGCAATTATTTCAAATCTTACTAAAAAGTAATGAGGGCAGGGAACATGAAAGAAAACCATGGAACACTGTTTGGAAATTTTAAAATGCTCTAGAAATTATAAGTACAAGTGAAATTTTAGTGTTTACAGTTAGCTTACTAAGTAACAAGAAATGTTTAACCTAGGTAAAATAACAGTGAAAAGAATAATGAAGAATAAGGAAAAGAACGAGGTACCAGCCATACTCCACATCCTGAAGAGGTCCGTCCTGTCTTACCCTAGCCCGTGTCCCTGTTGGTGCAGCTGCTTTAACTCTCAGAATGTCCAAAATTCTCTCAGGATCCCCTTCCCCGCTTCCATAGTATCTCTCAACTCAGTCTGGTAGCCTTATATCTGCCTCTCTCCAGCTGCTGTCTAAGGATGAGCAGACCATTCGATCTTCCCAGCTCTCAAACATAGCTCACCTCTGGAGTCAGTGGGGCTCCCCTGGTTTCATGCTCTGCAGCCTATAAGCCAAACTGACACCCCTCCCTGTCACTCTGGAACCTGGTCCATTGCCTTAAGCCTCCAGTTATTTGGAAGAGAGTCAAATCTTGACCTTCCTTCTTACTCCTTACTCTCTGAGCTTCAGTTTTCTCATCTATAAAATGGGCTAGTCCTAGCCATTCCAAATGGTTGTTAGGTTTAGTAACACTTCATATAAAACACTTAGAGCAAGATTTAAAACATATTTATGTACTCTATAAAGAGTGATATTAATAACAAAAATAATAATTATACTACATTGGAAGTCAACAATCCCATATTATGAAATAAGTACAAACTCTATAAACAAAAAGCTGTTCCCCTATTGCAAAATATGTACTGAGCCAATAAAATTCATAGAAGTCAGTCAGAAGATTTTTAAACATTATATCTAATCTTTATAAATATCCCATGAGGTATTATGAGCCACATTTTTCAAATGAGGAAACTGAGGCAAGAAAGGACTAAATAATTCACTCAAGGCTAACCAGCTGTAATGTCTTAATCCTTTTCTGAACCCAGTCCTCTCTGACCCTAGAGCCATGCTCTTATTTTGCCATTCTGTTCCCCTAAGATTGAGGTATTTGCCTGTCTCAGTACCAGAGAAATAGACAAAAGGCTTCTGCTGTTGAAAGCCATCCCTATTCAGTTTGAAGTGCCCTAGAGAAAGTTTTCATGGTTCAACATCTCATTCCATGAATCCACCATCCTTCCCCTCTAGAACCCACTCTTTTAAAACCATGATGGGGTCAAAATTGGTCTTCAGCTCCTCCCGCCTCCCCTCCTAACTCTTTCTTCCCTACTTTCCCTACCCAAAAGATCCTCAATGAATCTACACAGAACACTCAACGCCCTTAAATTCCCCTGCAAAAAACACAAAAGTGCCCCCCAAAACCATCCTTTCCTCTAAAATTATCTCCCTTCTTCCCCCATTAAAGTGCTCATGAACTCAGCACCTCTCTATGAGCTGTGAGAAGGGGAGGCAATTTAATGAAACTGATTCTTCCTTACGATTGACTATGTGACAGTGTCCCAGGCACACTTTACTTCTTTGTAAAGAAAACATTCAGCCCCAATAGGCTAAAAATTGGTCCAAATGTTCAAAAGATAAAATTTCTTGTTTTGTTTAGTTTTTAAGTAAAAGAGATCAGACAATGTAAAGGACAGATTTGATGCAGAATGCCATTCTTCTAGGCTCAATACATCACCTTCAAATAAAAAGCTATGACACATCCTTCACATTCTGACTTGATCACTGTTTTCTTTACTTCCCAGCATTCACATCTTCCTTCCACACGCAAGTATACCTAAAACACAAGAATCAAAAGTTTAGTTCACTACTTTTGAAAGAAGATCAAATCTTGATCTCAACCACACCTTAGTCAACACATTCCTCCATTGTATATTTTATCTTTTAGAGTTTTTTTTATTATTTTGAAAAGAATACATGCAATGATAAAAAAATTAAACATGCAAGAGAGTATACAGTAAAAAGTTTTTTTCTCGCCTATAGTGGAAATCTCATTTTATTCCCCAAATGTAACTGCCATCACATTTTTTATGTACACTTCCAGATATTTATCATAAATATGCACACACATATGTAGTTTTTCCTAAATTGAGAAATACAAATAGTTTTTTACCTGTCTTTTTCATTTAAGTATATGTTTTGCAGATCTGTGTATATAAACTATTTTATCCTTTTAATTTTTATATATCCTAGTCTTCATGTATGCCATACTTTATTGATGAATTTCTCTATTGATGGGCATTTAGTTTGTTCTTAGTAGTTTCTTATTACAAGCAATACTGCAATGAACATAATTTGCCTATATGTTTGTATATATTTGTGAACCTATCTATGGAACACAAGGCTCAAATCCTAATTGTTGAATAGAATAGTAAGAGCACTTTGAATTTTGATATTCTCAACTTACCCTCTCAAAGTTTTTCCAATGTACACTTCCTGGAATAAGTATATAAATGTGATTGCTTTTTTATGCCCTCACCAACACAGTATTTGCCACAGATCCTCCTTGCCTCTGGGTGTGGAACTATTGATCATGTGTATAGTGTGAGGGGCAACAGCAAGGTAGTGACCATAAATTAGGATTCAAGTGGTACCATGAAAAGTATCCTAGGTTGGAGTAAGAAGTAGATTTGGTTAGTTTTCATTTTATACTTATTTTGACAATTAGACATTTCAGTGTACCTTTAAAATAGCATCTTGAAAGGCCATCCTCTTATGCTAAGGATGCTACAATATTCCTACTATCTTTGCAGCCCTTCTTTGGGCGTGGTCTTCATAGTCAGCACCACATTATGTTTTTAACTCTTCACTAGTAACGCTCAGTCTTTTAGTGATGGATTTGATTTTTTTAATAGCCAGAGGCATTCACAGCAGTCCTTTGGGAAACAAGTTATCAGGCAAGATAAAACATTTTGGGTTAAAAATAAAGTGTGCCTTAAAATAATAATGTGTAAGTGTGTGTGTGGGGCGGGCGGAGAGAGAGAAATAAGCTGGATTGAAGGATGTTTTCAGTGAAGAGTTTAAATATGTTTAATGCCAATACGTGTGAAAAGTTTTCCAAAGTCATAGCTCTGAAGAACAATTTACATTTGGATGTAGACATTGTGGTATGTTTGCTTTGAAAGATTGATTATTTTATAGCAACAGCTCATAAAGCTGATGATTGTAAAAACACCTCCCTCTATCTTGGAGGCAGACCACACTTGTGTACATAATGGTGTCAGGTTCTAACTCAGCTTAAGACCACTTCTGGCTGTAACATGGCTAGACTCTAGTCTGTACCCATGTAGACAGGACCATTGCCATTCCCACATAACAAATATGACTTCTAGCTTACACAGGAAAATAAAAAATTTTGTTTCAAGAGAACAGTTATTGTTAAAGAATAAGAAGTTACTAAAAAATAAAAATAGCTTCAAAGATAGAAATAAGCATAATATTGGTTGGTAGATAATTTTGTTTGTTATAAAGGGCTTCAAAATGAAAAAGAGAGGCCGTAACTCTTATCTTGATTCTGTTCTGTCTCTAACAGCCCTGCTTTGTCACAGTTCATTTCCACCTGACTTAACTGTCCCTTTGTCATTTCTAGTTAACACTCCCCAAATCCGCTATTTGCTATTTTAGAAGCACCTAATCGCCTGCAACATCGTATTCTATACCTACTGCTACCTCCATGCTCTGTCTACTCATTCCCTTCTTAATCCCCTAAAATGTGGGATTGTGGTTTCCTAAAAGAAGACTAGGCTTTAAGTCAGAGGTGGATTCAAATCTTGACTTTTAGTTGTGACTTCAGAAAATATAATTAACCTTCTTAAGCTTTTCCAAGTGAAAAAAATATATATTGTAGGTTGTCCTAAATTATTTAATATACATTCCTTAAAAAAACTGGGAAAAGAGTGATTATACAAGGCACGTGCTTATGAGTTTGATGTATTTTTGTATACGTATGATACATATGCATAAGTTTTATAAAATGGGAACATAATACAGTATTTATTTTTCTGCAGTTTGCTTTGTCTCCCTTTACAACATTACCAGCAATCCAGCCTCTGCTTACACATCTGTCTACTGACCAAGAGCTAGATGATTGCACAAGCAGTCCTTTCTGGTTCTGTTACTGTTACACTGTATCGTAGTTGATCCTGGAAGGTTCTTCTCCATTTTGGTTTTAAACCTTGTGCCCTCTGCTTGCATACATTTGCCCTACCTCTGCCCTCTAGAATAACACAGATAAGTCTAATTCCCTTGCCGTACGACAGCCATAAAACATTAAAAGTAAACCTTCATATCTTGCTGACTCTTTCCTTCTCTGAGCCAAGCAGGCTTGGGCTTTTGGAGTTTTTTTATCCATTTCTCATCTGACATTATTTCTGAGTACTTGATGGTCTTAACAATAGCACCTGCCAACTCTTTAGCCTGTCCCACCTCTGGAGGCCACCTCTCTCACCTGAAAGCCTTACCTCCTCAGTGCAAAGTCATCTCTTTTCCCCAGCTCCTGCTGGGCTTTGTTTTCATTTCTCTCCTCCGCTAGACTGTAGAAGGTATGTCTCATGTTTCGTTTGGAACAAACCTCCCCCCTACTCTTCACCTCTGCCATCACCAGCCTCATAGGAGAGTATCTCAAAGTTATCTTTAAAGCTTGGTTGACTTTAGCAGCTATTTCCTCTTTTTATGTAACCAATACATTTTATGTGCACTGTTTTCATCTTTAAAACATTCTCTAAAGCCAACTAATAAATCAAAATGTGTTGTGGTGTGAAAAGAGAAAGGATCAAACATAAAAGAGAACTGTATTCATCATCTGAGCCCATTTTGATTTTTAAATGTGTGTGTGTGTGTGTGTGTGTGTACAGCATAGCTGACAAGATGATTACTTTGGATTCAGACACTAAGGTTCAAATCCCAGCCACTTAGCAGCTGTGTGACCTCATTGTGCTTCTGCTTCATCTATAAGATGGGGATAATAGTAACCACCTCGTAAAGTTATTACAAAGATTTCCCAGTCTACCAGAGTTACTGGTAATACGTGTAAAGTATCTAGATCAGGAGTTGGCACTAGGAAGCACTATGAGGAGGAGGAGGAGGAGGCTCTACATGCTTGGGAAAATTGCTTTTCGTCTTTCTGGACCTCAGTTTCCTATAGTGTAAAATGAGAAGGAAAGGGGGTAAGTGTTGACAATAGTGATGGTAATACCGGACAATCCTGGAGCCCCTGACATTTTACAGAGCACTTCCATATGCAGTAGTTCACTGGGAAGTACTCATTCATATCTCGCATGCTCTTAGCCAACCTAATTGCTGGAACAGCTGACCAGTTTGCTGCAAAGTATAAATACTGGCTGTGGCTCCCGTCCTTCGTGCAGCAGCAAGCTTCAAAGTCCTCACATAGCTTATTCCTCTTCCAGCGTCTGACTGTCTGCAAAATAATTTAGGCTTGTAAAAGCCAGACTCCCAAGTGGCACTAAGAGACTAGGAAGAAAGAGACAGGGAAAGAATACAACAAAGCATTCATGTTTATTGAGCACTTGCAGTACAGGTCACTATAATGCCTATCTCATCAAGTCCTCACTACCACCGAAAGGGTAGGTTTTATTGCCCGTATTGCGGCGATAATTTCCTCATAGAGTTCAGTACCAGTGCCAAGGTCACATAGCTAACTTTCAGCCAGGATTCAAATGAAAGTCTGATGGAGCCTAAAGCTTGAGCTCGTGCTCAAGTTCCATGCAACCTCACTGAGACTTGCAATCAGTTGGGCTTGGGATGTTGGTTATCGTTTTAACTTCTCTGCTAAATCTCAAGCCCACTGAAGAGACCTGCTTCACAAAGGTCCCAAGAACATGATGAAGTAAAGGAATGTATTTTATTGTGAACAACTGGCCTAAAGATGGCGGCATCTTTCGATCACGATTGACCAAGTCGCACCCATCATGAAAGCTTTAATGCAGAAATGACACTGTATTTTGAAGGCACCCTGAGACTGCTGTACCTTAAAAGTCTACCTGGTAAGTGACCAAGACAGCTATTGAGTGATGATATTTCTTCCATATTTATAGTAGAACAGAGAACAACCACATCTAGGAATGATCACTGTATAATAAATATTGCCAGTGGATAAGCCCATGACACTTTTTTTGTCCTTGTTCTTCCTTAGTTATTTCCCACCAACACACTTCTTTGCTCCCATGAGTTGATGAGTGATAGCCTGAGGGCATGTGAGGGTGAAGTCAGCATGAAATGTCTTGCTAAAAATCTTGGGTCATTAGCTGGGACTCACTGGCCTGTTCAGAAAAAGTAGCATAAAAATGTGGGAGCAATGAAGCCATGGTCTTGAGATCCGAGAGACTTCATTGTGTTTGGCAAACTCTATTAAATTAAAATATTTGGCCTTGAATAAGCAAAATTACAATTACATGTTAAGATACATCTACATTATCTTCATTGTCATTTTAACAGATAATTGCTGACACCAGGCAGGGTACACTTTTATTGTGCACATGAGCCTCACAATAATCCTGTGAGGTAGGCCCAATTATTACACCCACATTTAATGAGGAATCTGAGGCACAGAAACGTTCTGTAACTTTCCCATTGTCATAGAGGGAAGCAATGGTAACGTAAGGATTCGTACCCCAGCAGCGTGACTCCAACGCCCACTCTTTCTCAAAGCAAGTTACTGATTAAAATGGTCAGATGTGCCCATAAACAGGGACTGTTTAGGTTAATGGTTTTCATGAGATTTCCTAATCCACCTAATTCTCTACTAAGCAGTTGGTGTGAAAAAAAAAAATGAACACAACAATTTGTATATGTTAGAAAGCCAAAGCCTTCATGACCGCACGGATATCCTCTGTGGGGTCACTTACCTGTTGGATCTCAGACTGCACCTGAGGTGGAATTACGTTGACGGTTGTGGTGTTGTTGGAGCTCCCTTGTGGTGAACACACTTAAGGGATTACATTGTATTCTCACTCGGACTTTCCCTCTGAGTGTCTGACAATGAGGCATATAGCTGCTAGAAAGGAAAGGTGAGGGGAAAACTGTCAGCCTGTGGAACAACTTGTCATTGATTTGTTTCAGGGCTTAGAGTTCACACCCTTCCCCTCCTTTTTTCCTCCACAGAGGTCCTCCTCCTTCCAGAACGTTTCTCTTCCCAAAGCTAAGGACTGATAAGAAATGAGGACAGAACGGCGGGTGCCTTGTCGTCTCAAGTGGCTTATTGGCATCGCTAAGATTTTTCAGCCTGAGTAGCACCCATTTAGCTTGTCACGCCCCCCGTAGCAATGCTCTTCTTTAGATACTTTCTCCCTGTTGACAGGGGGTGGGGTGGGGTGAGGTGGGGAATGTGCCATACATACTGTGAGTCAGGTTCAAGCTTGCTCGCTTGCTGTCTCTCCATTCTCAAGTTTAATGCAGGTCAGCCTGTGCCAGACAGGGGATGACCATTCCAGGAGCTAACTGAAGGTGGCCATGAGGTGCAACTGAAAGATGAAGGGGAAAGAGGAGCTCATGACAAGGGAGCTAGGAGAACCCACCCTGGGCAACGCTCCTGTGTGTTACAAACATCTGCCAGAGGAGCTACGATGAATGGAAGATGGCACAGCCCCAGGGGTCAGAAGGTCTGGATCCAAGTGCTATTCACCCTGCAGTCTTGGGCAAGCTCCTTCTCCTGGTGAGGCCCCAGTTGCCTCCCTGTTGGGAGAAATAAAGGGTCAGCAGAGGGTGGGGAGGAACCGAGGAGATCTTGTAGTGGCCCCTCTGCTCTAAGTCACTCTGGGGCCCTGTGTCAAATGCTGGCTGTGGGTTTATTTTTCAGAGTCTGGCCTTGCATCTCACTATAACCAGTAGCTTGTCCTGGATCCTTGAACCTCTCCCCAAGCCCAAGAGAGGTGAAGCTCTGATGTTGCCTTGGGTGTGACCTCAGTCAGGCTTATTAATAAACAACACTTCCTGTTGCTCTACAGTGAGACGCTCTGAGGAGAGCGGCAGGGGCCACACCAAGCGAAGACCTCAGCAGGGACAGAAAGAGCTCGCTCAAGCTGAGTCAGTCCGTGTTTTTTCCTGTTAAATGATTCACATGCCGAGGCAAATCGGTCTGAGATGGGCAAACTCAACTCTGCCTTTCATGAGCTTCCAAATGAGCTGGTGGTTTTTGTTTTTGTTTTTCCTATTTCACTTCTCTTCCCTGGGAAACATGATTGCAGTGTTTTCCATTTCAGGTTAAAGTACCCACCCCCTCCATTCAGTGCCCTGGGGAGGAGGGGTGAGCGTATCAAAGGAACACTGTGCTGATGCTCTTGACTTTGAATCTGTTTAAGTGGCCGTTTTAAATGTTATTCAGATTCCTTAGACTTCTTTGTGACTTTCGACTCAAGTAGGTTAAATTATAAATAAACAAAATTTCCTAACATATTGTACACAATGAAGTCTGAGCTCTTTAGAAATCAAGCTCCAGGCACGTGAAATTTCCGTGTATCTCAAAAGGCTTATTGTTGTAAACATCCTAGACTTTTTTCAATTCTTTTGAATGGGCATTCCTCCCGAAAGGTATAACATATATAACATTTTTCTTCATTAAAAAAATTTAACCTTTCCTTGTGAAAGGCATTCTGACATCCTTTTAACACTGCTAGCTCCCATTTTGTCCTCCTGTCTTAAGTGAGGTCAATTTTAGTTAAGGCCCTTCTTCCATGTTCTGCTTAATTTTCATGCATGTCCATAACTCTAATATTCTTTTATCCAAGTAATTCAGGAAGAGATGGTTTTACTATTTGGATAATTTGGGCAACAATAACATCCGCCAGTTTAAGACCCTCCAGTTACTTCTCACTGTAATTAGAATATTAGCCAAACTCCTTCCCATAACCTATAGAATTCTGTAAAGCAACCCCTGGCCAAATATGGCCAAAACCCTGCCTTTCTCTCTAAACAATCTCCCCATCATCCACTGTGGTCCACACACAGGCTTCCTCTCTGTTCCTCCAGAGGGCCCGGTTGTCTCCGGTTCGTTGCCCTTGCCATTGCTACTTCCTGAAAGATTCCTTCCTCATTTTCATCTGGCTGCCTCCTTCTCCTTATTTAGGTCTGAGATCAAATGGCACTTCCTCAGTGAAGCCATTACTGTCCCCGATACCAAGGGAGCTGTAGCCCTTTCCTGCTTTATTTTTACCCCAGCTTTTAAAGCTACTGGAATGCTTTAATTTGTTTTCTTATTTACTAGTTTTTAATCAATAGTCATTCTCTGTTAAGTCTGTTATGTCCTGCAAGAGGAGGGCCTTTATCTGTTTTGGTCACTGCTGTAACAGTTTCCAAAACAACTGCCGGCATATAGGAGGCACTCAGTAAATGCTGGTGAAGGAATAAATCCTAGCCCATATCCACACTCACTTCCATTTTTCATGGGGAGTTCTGGCTGCCTTGAGTCTTATTACACATTGTGTAATCTGGACTGAATTATCAGTTACAGTGATATCCTCAGATGGCTGTCAAAACAGTAGGAAGCTGGTAATGTCCAATGTCATTTGATCCAATTTTGGAAAGAGACACAGAGAGCTACGAATGTTAAGGATATACTAATATCGTGAGTAGGTCTTTTCAAACTTTTCCAACAAAATATATCTAATAGCTCAGAATAGTGAGTAATAATACTTAGAGGAAGATCTAAACAGGAGTATAAAGTAGCCTCAAGGACAATATATCTCTGAAGCCTCAAGATTTATTTTTAAAATCCAGATGAATTTTGCATTCTAATCCATTAGTATATATCTGGGTTTGATTTAAAATAAAAGAAATTTCCCCTCAAATATTTTGGGGGGGGAAAAAGTGCCCTCCAAGAAGACATGTCCTACTTACCCTGAAAAACAACCAAGAATCCCCAAGTACATATGGTCCAAGCTGATAATGATCCAGAAATGATTCCAGAGGAGCCTTGAAGGGAGCACAGTCCCCTCCCACCCCGTGCTGGCCCACTCACCTGTCCCCACCTTTGCCCCAGGGAGGAAGAGCTCTGGAACAAAGAGTCCTAAGTGAACCGAGAGTCCTAGGAGGTGTCATGTTTTGAGAACGATAAAAGGCTAAAAGTTCTATCTTCCTGCATCGCTGTCTTCTCAAACATCTCTTTTAAATCTTTTCACTGCTCCCTTTCTTACCATGTGCTTGGTGAGATAAGAGGTACAAACCACCCTCGCTCCTGAGAGGAGAGACCCTAGAGTGACCATATAACTCAGTCTTCTCAGGACCATCCTGGCTGTGACAGTTGTCTGGCATTAATAGTGCTCCCTTTTCACTTGTAGAATATGCAATCACTCTAAGGTACATCTTCCCTGCTCTTCCCCCCACTTAAAAGGACAAATAGGAACCAAACTAAAAGAGTCTTAGACAATATGATGTAAGTCCTTTTCCAGGCCAACATCAGGCCACTAAGGAAAAGTCCTTGTCACTCAGATCAGTTGTCCATTTCATCCGCTAAGGAAATCCCAAAAGCATTTGAGGTCCAAACTTTGGTTCACAGTAATGAAAGTTTTTGGTCTGATGTACTTCTGCAGTTAGGATCTGTAATCACTATTGATTGCTCATTGAGGCTTCAGGATCCAGGCCATCATGTGTGCCTTACAATAATAATATTTATAGGGAGAAAACAGAAGAAGCAACCAGGATGGTAAGGGTGAATTGAGTTATTTAGTAAAAGTATTTTTAAATAAAATAAAACATACTGGATGGAAAATATTCAGTCAGAGATACCACATGAATTTGAATAATCAACCCTTTCAATGATCTAGCATTTGAAGGCATGAAAGAGAAAAACATTAAACCATGAGTGTACCAAAAAAAAAAAAATCTAGAGGAGCTAGTAATTATGGTGGCTACTGTGGGAGGCATAATAGACTGATGGTCCCAGCTGCTGCCCTGTGAAATCCATCACCACATTTGCTCTGAGGCCATGCTTTCTGTGGCTGCTCCCAGCCATGACTGAGCACCACCTGGCTGCTAAGGCAGGCCCATTCCTGGAAGATGCAGGGCTCCTCTGACAGGCAGTTTTAGCTTGAGGACTCCCAGTTAACCTTGCTGAAACTTTCTCTGAATTGAAATCTGAAGGCCTTTCTTCCTTGCCTTCCTTCCCTCTCTCCTTCACAGGGATCAGTCCTGCATTGTAGTCTGACAGCCCTCCCTGCCTCCTCCAGTTCCCACTTCATTTTCTCCCAAGAGGTTTCTTTCAGCAAATCTCTTGCATATCTAATCTCACTTTAGCACCTGATTCTCAGAGGACCTGAACTAACACAGTGATCCAAGGAGGGATCTATTTGAAGGACAGGAAGAATTAGGCTGTTTAATGTATTTAAGATAATTTGATCCAATACGAAGAGGAAGAATAATAGATATAGTGACCATAAAAGAAGTTTGATTAGATTTAAGAGGGAAGTTTCTGAGAACAGGTCATAACATAAGGGGTTGTGATGGTGAGGACCGAGGTGAGAATAGTCAGGGTCTGAAGTTATTCATTTGTAAATCTGGTGCTACGTTAAGACCAAAAAACAATTTGAGAATTTGAAGAGATTTCATTGTGTTTTGGACAACATGGATAGTTCAGTTGATATATGTGCACTGGAACCCTTTTAAAATAACTCTGCTTTTGGCAGGGGGTGCTTTGGAGTGTCTTGCAGTGTTTGTGATGACAAGGTTTTGCATAATTAGAAAACATAAATTAGAAAGTTAATTCTTTGCAAGAGATAATAAATTTTTTCAGCTCATAGGAATGCATTTATTGTGAAAAAGCAATAGCTTATGTTTTCATATTCCTTCATATATGGAACTTTGTGTCCTCAATGAGATGTGGTAATGTCTGTAGAACTGAATTGAAAAATTGTTTGGCGTACACCCTTACATTTAAACCTAACATACATCGTGTGAGGTTAGGAGGGCAGGTAGCATTAAAACTCACTTTTACCAAAGAGATAATGGAGACTTGGGGAGTATAAATAGCTAACACGTGGTAAAGTTCATCCCAGAAACCAGGCTGTAGTAGACAGAATTTCTGGGAGTGACTCCTAAGATTTCGCACCCTAACCCCTACAATGTGTGGATGGGATGAGACGTAACTCATTCCCATGATTGCACTGTGTTATATGGCACGGATGACCTTTAAAAAAGATTATCCCAGTGGATCTAATCTAGTCACATGCACCCTTAAAAGCCTCTCCTGCTGGTGGTAGAAGAGAAATCAGAGAGAGATGGCAAAAGGGGAAGTCAGAGAGATTCAAAGCAAGAGAAGGATTCAGTGTGCTGTGGCTGGCTTGAAGACAGAAAAGCCCACGAGGAAGATATGAGAAGATAAATTCTGCCTACAACCAGCGAGCTTAGAAGAGGATCTAAGCTCTAGATGAGAACTGCAGCCCCAGCTGATACCGTGATTTTGACCTTGTGAGGCTCTAAGTAGAGAACCTGCCTAAGCCACATTGTGCCCAGACTTACAGCCCACAAGAACTGTGCGATAATAAATGGGCATTATTTTAAGCAACTTTTAAGTCTGTAGTGATTTGTTACACAACAGAAAACTAATACATGAGTTTTGTAATTCCCATATTTTCTATCACCCTTACTCTTAACCAACGCCACTAGAAATAAATTGTAGTAAACTGGAGAAGTGCAGTACTAACCTTCTAGTTTTGCAAATTTAATTTTGATTAGAATTTTAG